TGCTCCTGAACACCAGCCACACTTGTGTCCTCAGAGGACACTGACCTGGAAAGTGAGGAAGCCTTCGGCCTCCAAGAAACTTAAATAAAAACTTAAACTGGAATGGAAACTGAAAAGCTGTCCCATCCCTGGTGTCTGTCCCTTCCTTGTCAGGCCTCTGAGGACAACTTATCAGGCTCTTGCTCTCCCCTCCAGGCCCCTAATCTTGGCATGGTCTAGTTCCACCCCTGGACTCTTGTACTTTGGGGACACAGGGACCCATTGTTTGTAATCTCTTCATCTTATCTCTGCCTTCTCTAAGAGCCCACCATGGCCAGTTCCCCTAAAAGCATGTGGCCCAAGATGAAGAAAGTTGTGATCACTCATCCTCTTGAAGCCTCAACTTAGTTTGCATCTGAAACCTGTATCACAGATTGTTTGGATTGAAGCCTAAGGAATGGGGGCTTTCCACATGCTAGTACCTTCATCAGGATGCACCATGCCAGGGTCTGACATCACCCATAAGGGGTTAAAGTAAAGCTGCTCGGCTGCCCAAGGGGGTTCATTATGAGCAGAAAATGCAATTAACCTCGAATGGTTTAGATCACTGGCCCAGGCTTGCTTTCTGCTTGCTGCCTCAGTCCCTTCACTAAAGAATAAGCAAAATATTGCCTGATACAGTAACTCAAACCTATAACCCTATCTTCTTGGGAGCAGAGATGAGAAGGAACATGGTTCGAGGCCAGCCTGGGCAAAAATGTTCATGAGACACCTCCCCATCCCCATCTCAACCAGTAGCTGGTGGCACACACCTGTTATCCCAACTACATGGGAAGCATAATTGGAGGATCATAGTCCAGACCAACCTAGGCATAAAGTGAGACCCTATCTTTAAAAAACGACAAAAAGGACTGAAGATGTGGTTCAAATGGTAGAGCACGTCTAGCAAGTGCAAGGTCCTGAGTTTAACCCCCAGTATCACCAAAAGAAAAAGAAAAGGGAAAACACAGATAACCAGAACCAGACATGCCAAAGAGAAGCAAGAATAAGAATTCTCCCAGTCTCAGCTTCAGAATGATTCTGAGAGGTTCATGAATGATTCGGTGCACCACACAGAATAAATGGGTGCACTGTTATTTTCAAATATGTGTAGGTACCATTGTGGTTCATAAAATGGAAATTTATTTTTAAATGAATCCTTAGTAAGTTACTTTGACCTAATAATGTCTTTGGAAAGAGAATAGCCTCCACAATCTAGCTAGAGGGAAGGACTTGGGTGCTCTGCCTCAGCTCACTTGTCCTGAAGATAAACATGCTCAGGCGTGGAGCTCTGACTTGGTGACTAAACCGTAATCACCTGTCAGCACAGTGCCTGTTCTCCAGGATAATCAGTGGCACAACATTCAGCACGCAACACATACAGCAGCCGCAGTGCCAGGGTGACTGCAGACAAAAGGAAGAGAAGGTGGAAAACAGTGGGCTTGGCCTTCCCACCAAAAGAGAAGACGGGTCACATAGACTATCCAGAAATCCCTGGATTTAAGGCTAGGAGACCACATACATGGAGGGTATCCAAGAACGTAGCTGGCATCTGGAAGTGCAAGGGGACTTACCAGGCCATGAAGGTGTAGAAATCCTAAAATCTTTGTCTCCCCAGCACTCCAAGGGAGGGGCATGTGGCAACCTCTGAAAGTTACCTCCACTTTGCTCTGTGTTGCTTCTGCTTCTGTGTTTCTGCTGGGAATTTAAACTTCCAGATTTCTGTAGCCAGAAGGAGCTCTATTCCTACTCTCTCTCCATCCTTCTCACACCAGCCCTGTCCTCTGAGATGCAGGAAAGAAAGGTGATTCTTTACGTGAGTCTAGCCAAGAGCCTTTTAGCTCAACGCTCTGTATCTAAATGGGAACCTGAGAGAACGCTGGCTTCGTGGAACTCACCAGATGCTGAGAAATAAGCAGAGAGAGATCCTTTCTTACAGCTATAGTGATGTGTAACAGGATCTGTTCTTGTTTCCTATCTCCTGCAAGAGAAAAGCCATGCCTCCCTTTTCTCCCTGAGAATTGGGAGAACTCTGAAGTTGGTGTTCTTACTAGCTAAGAGCCTTACAAGTACTTGTGAGCTTATAGCCCATGAGAATGAGTTGTTGGTTTATGTTATTTATTTATTCTTTTGGTGGGGGTGGGTTTGCTTTGTGGAAGGCAGGATTCTTATTAGAAGTCTGTGATGTCCATAACAGAAACATGTTTCCTCCATGGCCGTCTCTATTCCAGGTTCCTGCTACTAAGGTTCCTGTATGTTTGGAAGCAAGCTTTTTCAGTCATTAAAACTCATGCTAGTTAATGTCAGGCACTGGTGCCTAACTATTTGGGAGGATCTCAGTTCAAGGCCAACCTGGGCAACTAGTTCATGAGACCCCATCTCCAAAATAACCAGAGCAAAATGGACTGGAGGTGTGGCTTAAGTGGCAGAGCACCTTCTTTGCAAGTGCCAAGCCCTGAGTTCAAACCCTAGTCCCAACAAAAAACAAAACAAAGCAAAAAAAACACCCATAGCAGCCAGCTCGATGCAAGTAAAACTTGTAAAGAAAAATGACCACATTACGCAACTGTGTCATACTATTCCATTCCAGTTACTCTGACAGAAATGATAGTGTTCAAACGTGTTCCATGGGAACATGTTGAATATATTCCCTCTATTCCTAGATAGCTTTATACAGGAATTTAAGCTTCTCTCACATTCTTAGTCATGAGAAAGTTGTGGATGGGGCCACTGCTTTGGGGGTATGTTGTGAGAGGAGCAGAGGTACCCACACATTGCCCACTCGTTTGGTGGAGCTGTCCACCACTTATCCTTTGGCATTTTTAGGATAAACAACTTAAGGTATTTGCTGAGAAATTTACTATCCTTCCCTACTTCTCCTTCTATAGTATAGAGTGAGACCGCAGAAGAAGAGGTGAGGTGTAAACCTTTCATGAAGATCTTAAAAATATGCCCATTGTTGGAGTGGAGCCAAGCCTTTCTGTGATTACCCATGGCTTTGGGCCTTGGCAATGGCAAGATGTTTGAATCTTGTAAGACAACCTCAAATTGGATGTAAAAGGATAGTTAGCTGAGCTGCAGAGACACCTGTGGCTAGGCCCAGAGATGGATGCCTTGCAGGCCTCCAGATGTTTTGAAAGTTCCCTGCAAGCCATTCTCCTCCCAGCTCATCCTGGATACTCAGGTAGAACTCTGAAACAGAAGTTACAGATTATATACAACCTAGTGTCTTAACATTTTGTAAAATCTTTTAGCTAAACTTCTACCTTCTACCATTCAATAATTTATTCAACAAGTAGCTATAGCTTGGCTCCTCAATACCAAGCCTTGTTCTAAGTTCTGGGGGAAGGTTCCTGCCCTCATGACAATTGCATTCTCAAAACAGAGCAGATGCAAAGTAACTAAGTCGACAGGATAATTACAGTTTGCTATAAGTGCTATGAAGGACATAAACAGAATGATGAAATGGAAAGTTACAGAGAAGGACCATTCTGTAGGGGAAGACCTTTCTGCATTGGAGCCAAGACCTCTAGTTTAGGAGGACCGAGAGGAGCTGATGGAAGAGTGTTCCAGGCAGAGCAAGTGTAAATCTCAGAGGCAGAAAAGCCCTGGCAAGTTCAAGAACCTAAAGACTCTCCAGAGTGAAGTGAGGAGAGTGAGTCCGGACAAGTTCAGAGAGAATTCAGGAGCCACACTACGTAGGCATTACCAGCCATGCCCAGAGCTCAGACTTTATTCTGAGAGCAGTGGAAAGAAGCTGACCTTGTTAAACAGAAGTGAGTAGTGTACTTAAAGATCTCTGCCAGACTGCTTGTGAAAGATTAGGAAACAAACTCCATTACTGTGGAACTGGATAAATAACTTTAGGTTAATTATAGTGATTTGCAGCAATTAAAAACTCTGAGGCATATCTGTATGCATTGCTATAGAAGGATTTGCAAGATATCCTAAGTTGGGGCTAATGGAGTGACTCAAGTGCTAGAGCGCCTGCCTAGCAAGTGTGAGGCCCTCAGTTCAAACCCCAGTACCATTAATAAATAAATAAATAAATAAAATAAACAAGCACAATAAATAAGTAAATAAACAAAAGATATCCTAAGTAGAAGGAAAAAATCCAAACCAAGAAACAAAATAGATGATGAAAGTGTATTATAAATGGGATCTGAGTGTGTAGCTAAGGGGTAGAATACTTGCCTAGCAGGCTTGAAGCCCTGGGTTCAATCCCCAGCACAGCAAAAGAAAAAAAAAAAGAATTACAAATGTATTTTAAAGAGGGTACGTCCATGTGTATAGGTTTTGCATATGTATAGACTATCACATAAAGGGTGCACAGGAAGCTGGTAATGGATTGCTTCTAGGTAGAAGAGTTGGGACACAAGGAGGCTAGGAAAGAAAGAGACTGACTCTTCACAGTATATTTTTTTATACATTTGAATCGCTTATAGCGTGCCTGTATTATTCAGCAAGAAAGACATTATGTCTAAATTGTGATCACTATTGTTGCTGTATGGAGGACTGAGGAGGGCAAAGGTAGAAGCAAATAATCCATTAGAGGCTCTGGCAGTGGTCCAGTTATGAGTTGGTGGTGACTTGACCTGTGGATTTGGTAATGGGGATGAGGAAAAGTGGACGAGTTCAAGATGTATGCTTTAGAGGCAGAGCCTGCTGGGCTTGCCATAGTACATTACATACCAATCTTCCCCCTTCCCACTAGTTTAGGAAAGGCTTGTGCATTAGTGATTGGGTTTAGCTGACTGAATTAATTCACTAACATCTTTGGTGGGAAGGTTTGTTGGGCTTCCTCCAGGTGCTAAACACCTCAGAATTCCAGAGAAAACCTAATGCATTGCACTATGGAAGACACAGTCAGGGACATGTACCTCCTTTGTGTCCACATGCAGCAGTTATTAACAATTCTAATGATCATAGAAGCAAAGTCACCCTGAAGACCATTCATTTCTCAATGGAGTTTGCTTACTTTGCAGAGAGATGCCAAAGGCCAGTACCTGTTTGACCTTCTTTGCCACCACCTGAACCTACTTGAGAAAGACTATTTTGGGATACGCTTTGTGGACCCAGATAAACAGCGGGTAAGTAAAAATTCAAAGCACAAGGGAAGCACAAGGTTAATCAATAAACCTGAAGCCTTGAACTTGTTCAGCCTCAGAGATCAGCCAGACCCTGCAGTTAGATGTCATCACTTCAAATTCATAGTATTAGATTTGGATGGCATCTGAGGTAGAGCTCACCTGGATAAGCCTGGCATTCTACAGATGACAAAATGGCAGCCAGAGAACTGAAGTGATTTGCCCAAAAGTGCCTAGCTGGATGTATAGTAGATGGGCTGATGTTGTGGTCTTGAGCCCAGAGCACAGGGTGAGCTCTCCTGTCCCCTTTCTAGTAAATGGACTGAACCATATTTGAGCACATCTTGTTCTGATTAGGCAGGACCTCACTGAGGTACCATGCCAACCTAGTCTAGGCAGGACAGAGAGCCAAACTGCATAGGTCTTAATCACCTACAGGTCTTACATTTCTTGTTCTGTTATATACAACATCTCTGGACACCAGGCACTGACAAGGACTATGATATTCCAGATACATACAGGAACAAGTCCATTATTCTTAGGCCTTTGCTTCATCCCTAGCTCACCTCCCCTGACTTGTCTTCTCCCTGCTATATGGTCTAGCCAGACAACACTGTTTCAAAACTTGTTTCTTTTCAAAGCCTTTACCTATACAGTTCCCCTGTTTGGAACGTGTGTTTCCTTTCCCTCACTTCACACTTCACATTTTTCTTCTGGCCACTTCCTTTCACACTTAAGATTTTACCATAGACTTACTTCCTCAGGAAGTCTTCCCTACTCTGTGTTAGAAGTCTTCCTCTGAGCCCCATGTGCTCTCTACAATCCCCATCATAGCACTTCTTACATACTGCTGTGATTAACTGTGTTCCAGGTGAAAGAATTAGTTCCATAAGGGCATGAAGTTTCTCTCATCTGTCACTACCTTCCACAGGACCAACACAGGGCCTAGAATATAGCTGATGCTCAATAAGCATTTGCTGAAGGAGTGAGTGAGTTAATGGTTTGTAGTGCCTTATTTCTCACTTCCATCTACCCAGCTTGCAGAAACCTGCAGTTTCTGTAGCTTCTGTTCATCCTCTCTTTGCTGTCTGTGAGGATGAGCTCTTTGGCATCCCCACTAGTAGGAAAATATGCAGAATCATGCAGGCTTCTCTGCCCCTGCTCACGACCCATGTTCATCTGTGTCCCTCCAAAAACATCATCCCACAGACCCTACTTTCGTGGAGCCAGATTTCATTCACAGTTCCAAACATGGGGCCATGCTGTCACTCATCCCAGCACTGCCCAGGGTCACAGATGCTGAATGGATTTGCCCTTATCATGCCAGACTCAAGTGCTATTTGTTCTTTGATGCTCTGAGCCGCTTTGTCTTCCAGGTTACATCGAGGGTTGTGTACTAAACACAGGAGCTTTAGAAAGGAATCTGAAGACCATGCCCTTTTCCTAGTCTTCATGAACATCTTTTGCTTCTTCCAGCCCTGCAGAAATTTAAGTGGCATCAGTGTTTGGGAAGCAGTGTCAAGAACTGCCCCATACTCTCCAAAGGCTCCACTTCTTAGCTCTAGACCTCAGCACAAGGCCACAAAAAGTGCAAAAGAAACTATATGTCCTCCCCTATTGTGGGTGCCCACTGACTAGAAAACTATTTTTCACAAATGGATTATGTTTGTTTGACCTGAGCTTTCTCTCCTTAAAAAGGAAGGCCAAAGTCAGGCCCCAGTGGCTTACGCCTGTAATAAGCCTAGCTACTAGGGAGGCTGAGATCTGGAGGACTGTAGTTCAAGGCCAGCCCAGGCCAAAAAAAAAAAAAAAGTTTTTGAGACTCCACCTCAACAGAAAACAGCTGGGTATGTTAGTGTGTGCCCGTTATCCCAGCTGTGGTGGGAAACGTAAAATAGGAGGATCTCAATACAGGCTGGCCAGGGTAAAAAAGCAAGACCCTATCTCCAAAATAACCAGAGCAAAAAGGACTGGTGGTGTGGCTCAACTGTAGAGCACTTGTCTAGCAAGCACAAGGCCCTGAGTTCAAACCTCAGTACCACAAAAAGAAAAAGAAGTCCAGTTACTCCAGGATATCTTTATCTCCTAGAAGTGTATTAAGAAAAAAGGGCAAAGGCATAACAAAGAAACTATCAAAAAAAAAAAAAAGAAAAAGAAAAAAGGGCAAAATGAGTCCTATTGATTATTTTTCAATTAGGTCAGAATGTGCTTGAGAATAGAGCATATGTGGAGTGATAAAGATTAAAATGAGAAGGAGCTAGAGAGAAGGCAGTGGGAAAGAGGATAAATAAACCTTTAGGGAGGACCTACTATCATCAGGCTCTGCAGTGAACACATGCCAGGCTCTCAGCTGATGAATACTGAACACTAACTTATGCCAGCCAAGAGCTTGTCTTGTTATTTCATGTAATCCTTAAAACCAATGATGAGTTTCCATAAATGAATCCATTCTCCAGGTGAGTAGATAAAGTCTAAGATGGGCTAAGTAACTTGTCCAACCACACTAAGATGGAAAGGCAATCTCGAGCTCAGAGCTGTCTAGCTCCAGAGCCTGTGTGGTTTCTAAGATGCCATGCTGGTGTCACACCTGGTAGCCTCTGAGAGCAGTGTGATTCTGCACTCCAGGGGAGGGCTATGAAATGCCAAGGCCTGAGAGAGTGTTGGAGAGAAACAGACTTGTGAGGAAGAATTGTGCAAGATTCACTGATTCATGGAGTTGATGGAAGGGATGAGCTCCTCACTCCCTCAGGGTATAAAGTAAACCTCCTCCCCCGGACTCTGAGGTACTCTGAATTGAGTGCTTACATCCACCCCACACCTCTCCTTACTCTGCAGAGTCCCTTTGTGCCTGGGACTCCCCTAGTCTTGCCTGGACGATCTGCCTCTCTCCCCCTCACCTGGCTCCTGACTCAGACCCAGGGCCTCTGCCTTCTCCCCATTCTTCTTTGTATCCTTCCAAGCCCCCCAGAATCCTGGAGATTGTGCCACTTTGGCCCTTTCACCCACACACAGGAGGAAACCCTGCTTTCTGAATCATCTTTTCCTCTCCTGGTCCTTGGTCTCCAGGGCCAGGTTTTCAGTTTGTTGGCAATCCTGGGATCCGGATTTGTCCAGGCAGCAAGAACTCTTACCATCACTATATTCTTGGGACTCTCTCAGCATTTCTCTATTGGACCCCTGAAATCCCTTAGTCAAGCTGTGACAGCTTTCCACTTCCTTCTCCACCCCTTCCCAACCTCTTCCAGCCTCAGTCTTTTCTTAAATTTTTACCACAGCACAAACTAACGCCTTCCCTCCTGCCATAGCCAATGGGAGGAGCCTTTATTCATTCAGCTCCATCTGCCCTCTGCTGATAATACATCTCACAGTCATTCCTTTTCACTTCTGTCTCCCTTTGTTTACTTCTTTTAATCTATCAGCCTAATGTCCAGGGGCGTTCTGTCTCTGACACTTTCTGTGTTCTACCTGTACACAATTCCAGTGTACTTTGAACAGACCAGCCTCCTCCAACTGCATGGGAATAACCCAAGAACCCCAGTTGTTTCTGTACAATTTCATCTCTTGCCTTTGCTTCCCCGTGAAGCAGAGCTGCGGTGGGCCATGTAATGTGAGAAGGACCTCTTAACCACATTGAGTGGCTATAATGAGTTGCCAGCCTCGTGGGAACTCAGATCAGAGGAAGCAAGAGAGCAGAATGTCAGCCCGGATTATCCATGTGGAGCTGACGGAAGAACTGGCTCTTAGTGGGTCCATTAACTGCATGACCCACGGCCCAGCCCAGAAGGTGAGAACTGGGAATCAAGAGAGGCCAGGAAGCTGTCTACATAGGCTTGGCTGCTTTCCTGCCAGGGGAGTACTCTGCCAAGACTTTGCTGTAAATGGAGGTAGCTGGGAAAGAGGAAAGTGTGAACCCAGTCCCTTTGTCAATTCAACAGTGACATGTTGTGCATATGCTAGGCACTGGTGATTCTGTGACTAATGAAAGGACAGTTTCCTGTCCTCGTGGAGCTTATAATTAGTAGCTTTAAGCTACTTCCAGCGAATCAAGCCCCAAATCATAGCAGCATAACTCTGAAAATTTGCAAGGTACCTGCTTAGTATAAAAGCAACAGACATCAATAATGAATGCTATACATGACCATGGAGATCTGAGAAGCAATACAGAATGGTCTCATTTCTTCCTTGCCCCAAACATAACTAAGGGCTGGGGGTGTGACTCAAGAGATAGCATGCTTGCTTAGCAAACATGAGACCCTGAATTCAAACCCCAGTACTGCAAAAAATAATAAGTACAGTGAAGGAAAACCTATAGTTACTACGTCCTACCTCTGTAAAAAAAAAAAAAAATCCAAGGGGAACAGGATACTGTCCTACACATTGGTTACACATTGGTTATGAAACTAAGACTTTAAACATCCTGAGTATGCCAAGGAATCCCGAGTATGTGTTCTCTAGCACAAGGATTGGCAGTCTGTGTTACTCAAAATGGGAACCATATACCAGCCATCCCTGCCTTCTCTCACATACAAAATTTCCTTTTGTCAATACTTTCTAGAGGCCAGTCCTCTATCCCACTCCTTTGCCAAAAAAAAGTTGGTGCACAATACAACACACAACACACATCAAGCACAGCATCTCCCTACTCAAGCCAGATGGGCCTCTGTCTCCAGCACACATAAGTGTAGCCATTCATGCCTGCTGGCATGCCAGAAACAGTGGCACCCTGCTTTAGAAAGTGGCATTTCCAATGCAAGTAAATTCCCTGTATAGCTATCCTTATCTCAACTAGCAAAAACCCTTGTTCCTTCCTGTTATTGCTTATACTCTCTCTTCAACAAAATTAGAGATAAGGGCAAAATAGTTTCTGCCTGGTAGAAACTCTCCCTGGGAGAGGGAGGGGGCAGGGTAGGTAAGGGAGGGGGCGGGGAGAAGGGGGGAGAAATAACCCAAACATTGTATGCACATCTGAATAAAAGAAAACAAAAAAAGAAAGTGGCATTTCCAGGGAAGCCCAGACATGATATCTGAAGCTGGAGCTATTCCCCCTTCACAGCTGGTCCATGGGGAGCATATTTCAGAATATCATATCACATCACTCTTCACTGTCCAAACTCATAATTCCCAAGCTTTGGGTCTGTTTTTATCTTAGGCTACAATCTGTGTAGTTACTGAAGTTGTATAAAACAAGTTAGACTTGACACTCCTCATTAGGGGTTCATGTCCTGCATTCTCTGTTTCAGCATTGGTTGGAGTTTACAAAGTCTGTGGTGAAGCAGCTGAGATGTGAGTATTCTCCATGAAAAGACCAAAGCCTCACCCTGGGGAGGGTGGGGTGAAACTCCCAAAGGAAGCAAGTGTTGTACATTTCTAATTTTTCCACTGTTCTTGGTATAAGTTGGCCCTATCCACAAGAGGATTTTTCTGCCTGCAGTTCAGAGGCCTCTGCCTGTCAGGGGGAGGCAAGCCCAGTCATCTTCTGGGAGAAGGTCTCCCCTGATAAGTACCTCTTTTTTCTGCAGCCCAGCCTCCATTCACCATGTGCTTCCGTGTGAAATTTTACCCAGCAGACCCTGCTGCCCTGAAAGAAGAAATAACCAGGTAAGGCTGAACATATGCCCCACAACCACTAATGCCTGTTGGAGAGGACAGGAAAGGGACTCGTGACCTCTTAGTCCCTCTGATTTGGAAAGCTCACTTCTCAGATAGGACCTACTTATGCGTCTCATATCCACATGCTTGCTTTGCTCACCGCTCAGTGGAAATGGGAGCAGCCTGAGCCTTTCATCTCTAACTGCTCACTCTGCAGGGGATCTGGAATAGCTAATTAATCAAAAGCAGTCTTTCTCTTACCTATGATGTGGCTCCTGTGAATGTTTTTGGAGAGGTCTGTGTTGCTGCTTATTTCAGGAATTGAAAATAGACTCCAGTGGTCTAATGCATGTACTTGGGAAATGCCAAAGTGTGACACAGAAAGACAGGCTGGGAAATACTGAAGTTTCTAAATCCAAATAGGTAAACTCCAGTCTGTTGTTGGATAAGATTTGAGATGAACGCTTTACAGGGGAGATGGGATTCTATGGCAAGCAGGCAGCCCTGTGTTATGAATCCCATCTCATCCAGGGCCACTGGAGAGTACAAAAGAAATTCTGTGGCCACAATCATCCTCTAGGCAAATCAATGAAGAGGACACGTGAGCTTCCCAGGGCTTTGTACATCTGAGCCAAATCCACGCTAAGTCTCCTTAGAGATTCACAGGTTCTCTGTAACTGGGATCCCTTATTTTGACATGAGCAAAACCTTGATGTTGTCTTGTAATGGGTGAGGCCATAGGTGAAGGGGTGGTGCCAGGTGATGCCTAGCACTGAGGAAGTGACAGCACAACCAGCTCTAATCCCCATCCTCCAACCTTGGAAATGGCAACTATGGGAATGGGGCTATCCTTGCCTATTGGCTGCATATCCTATAAGGCCTTGAGGTCTACTTCAGGATCCTGAACTGCTTAGAAAAATCTCAAAAGAGTGGAGGAAGGCAGGAAGAATATGGGATTGTTTTAATTTCTATTCTGAAGAGCTTGCCTGGCTTTACATAAGGTGAAAGGAGCAAAAGATTATCTTAGATGGGAAATGAGGAAATGGGAAGGAGGCATGTAATGAGAATAAGTAGTACAGAGAAAGCCTGGGAGTGGAATGGGGAGGGACAGTAGCTTCTTCATGTGGGCCCCAGTGTGGGTTGTGGGTAGTCTTCTGATGTAGTCAGGATCAGGAAAGCCTCTTCCTGTAGACACACAGGCAGGCAGCCCTAAGGTTAGCAAGGTCTGCCTCATGCTCCTTACTGGGCATACAAACTGCAGCTCTCTCACCCATATTTACAGCAACACTATTTACAGTAGCCAAACTATGGAATCAGCATAAGGATCCATCAGCTGAGGAATGGATTTAAAAAATGTGATATAGATTCACCATGGGGTATTATTCAGCCATAAAGGAAAGTAGAATTAATGTTTGCAGGAAAATGAATGGAACTAGAAATCATCATGTTAAGTGAAATAAGCCAGACTAACAAGGACAAATATCACATGTTTTTTTCATATGCAGAATCTAGAGCTTTACAAAAAAAAAAAAAAGAATGACACAAGTGTAAAGGGGTCTGTTTGTTGGTGGGAATCAGAGAGGGAAAGGTGAAATGAGAGGGTGATGAAGAGGTGAACATGATTGAAGTACTTCATATGCACATATGAGAATAGAAAATGAAACCCATTAAAATTGTTTTAAAAGGGGGACAGGGATAAGAAAGTAATAGAAGGGGTGAATTTGATCAAAGTACATTATATACATGTATAGGAAATATCACAATGAAACCCCTTTGTACAATTAATCTATGCTAAGTAAAGAAGTAGCTCCTGCTTTGCTTCTGAAAACCATACCCAACCATGACTGAACAATCCTATAGTTTCTAGTAGGAAATGGGGACAGAACCTCTGTGTTTAACAACTTAAACAGAGAAGAATTTTGTCAAAACACTAGCCTGCCCCACTCGTGCGTCTACTCTGTCCCTCCAGAGTGTTTGCCTTAGCTCTGGGCCCTTCTCTGCTAAAAGTGCCAGGGCAGTCCCAGAAATCTGCATCCCTACCCACATGTCAGAGCAAACTTAATACTTTTTTGTTGAAAGCCTAGCACCTTTTCCTCCTAACACCAGCCTTCAGGATTTCCTGGTCTCCACTTCATTGGACCAGCAGTGAGATACAAAGGGATTGGTCTCTGGGCTGGCCGAATAGCTCAAGTGGTAGAGTGTCTACCTAGCAAGTGTGAGGCCCTGAGTTCAAATCCCAGTGCCACAAAAATAAAAAGAAATTAAAAAGAAAACAAAACAGGAATTGGTCTCACATGAGTCAGCAAGCCACCCACAGACACAGGGCTTCCCAATGATTACCTTAGCCTTTAGCAGCTCTTAATACAATTTTCTAAATCTCATGTCACAATGTCATATTACTGGACACAGCCTCGTACTCAGGAAGCAGCGTAGACCTGGGAGCTCAGGTCAAATTTATGTTGTTGCTTGTCTGTAGGACTTGAACATAAGATATTTGACCTCTGACCTTTGGACACCTCACTTATAAAATGGGGATAGTAATGTCTACTTCTTAGAATTGTTGGGAGTATTAACCACTATACTAGGGTCTTAGACTTCTTGATACACTCCTAGTAAGCCTTACACTGAGTAAAGGATCAGTGTATTCATGCTCACTGCTAGATTGATTACATGGTTCATGTACATGCAGCATTGGAACCATGCATGACTAATGCTTCTTGCCAATTCAGCAAATGTCAAGGACACTGGCAAGGATATGAGCTCCTCTTCCATCTGCACGTGTTCATGCTAACCATCTTAGACAATTTCCCTTCACTCTTCACCTCACTGTCCTTCTTTCCCAAGGGTGCAATTTTCCAGCATTATTAGTAATACGAAACACCGATGCCTGGGCCTGATTTGTAGTTTTTGTGCCTCCCCGTCCTGGGGCATGCCGTAAGCCATGGAATTAGCTACCTCTTCCTCATTCACATCCCTGCAGATCTTAAGAAAGTGGGTACCTGCCCCAGCCTCACTCAATACCCATAATTCATTTCTGGCTTAGAGCTCTTTCATCCCACCTTGCTGCCAAACTAATTTAGCTGTCAGTGTGTTTTTTCCTGGCAATATTGGTCCTAAATTTCACTACTATCTCTGCCATTCCTATAAAGCCAGACTGAGAAAAGGGGGTGAAGCAAGGAGTATAGAATTGTGCTTCAGTTTATCTCTTGGATTCTTCCCAGAGGATAAATTTAGGCTCCAAATCCTGATTAATTTCCTTTGTCATTTTTAAAAGTAGTAAATAGATTTTCTTGTCTAAGCTGGAGACAAGGCTGAGAAAATGGGGGATCAGGCACCAGATTTAGCTTTTAACAGGAACTGCAGGTTTATGAACTCTTTGGAAAGATCAGGTGCCAGAAAGTATCTGAGTGCAAGCAGAGCCCAACTTACCAGGAAACAACACATAGCAGATGCTCAAGAGAAATTAATAGAATGAATGAATATGTACATTAATGCATGGAGTCATTAGGTCATTTATTCCTGATTCAGTGAACACATTTGAGCCTAGTTCAGCTGAATACTGGTTGGCAAACTCTTTCTGTAAAGGACTAGATAGGAAGTATTACAGGCTTTGGGGCCATATGGTCTCTGTTGCAACTACTCAGCTGTCTTTGTATTGTGAAAGCAGCCATAGACAATACATAAGTGAATGAGTAAGGCTGTATCTCAGTAAATTTTTATTTCATTGGAAAGTATGGCAGTGGGCCATAGTTTGCCAAACCCTGGACTAAGAAATCAGAAGGACCTGCGTTCAAATCCAGGGTTGTTCTTCAACTGCAAAAGGGCAAGCAGCAGTATTGCCAAGCTCTTGGTTTCCTCATCTATCAGATACCTCAAGGAGGCGTATATGCTACAGCCAAGCTCAGGTTTTCCTTGGCTGTCTTTCAGGCTGTCACTCATTCTATCCTGTTGCATACTCCTATCAATTTAGGACAATCCTAACATTAAAACAAAAATGGAGTCTGAGCATGGTGGTTCATGCCAATAATCCTAGCTACTCAAGAGGCAGAGGTCAGGAGGATGGTGATTCCAGGCCAGTCCACAAAAAAGTTCACAACAACCCATCTCAACCAATGACTGGGTGCTGTGACATGCACCTGTTATCCCAGCTATGCAGGAAGTATAAATAGGATCACAGTCCAGGCTGACTTGGGCATGAAAACAAGGCCCTATCTGAAAAATAACTAAAGCAAAAATGGCTAAAGACGTGATCCAAATGATAACATGTTTGCCTAGTAAGCTCGAGGCCCTAACTTTAATCCCTACTTCTGAGAGAAAAAAAAAAAAAGTGGGAGATGACATAAGGCCCCTTTGAGGCCAGAAAGAAAGTTAATTTTTTTCTTGAGGAACAAGCTTGTTGTCTTAAATCGGATTTCTTCTTTGGAGCTGTAAGAATTTCTCTCTGATAACAGGAGTTCTGACTTGTTCAGGACCTATCTCTCTATCCTGACAACTAACCAAAGCTAATTTGGTACTGGGGATTGAACTTGGCTTCACACTTGCGAGGCAGGCACTCTCTCTACCTCTTGAGCCACACCTTCAGCCCTTTCTGGAATCTCACTATTTGCCACAGGCCAGCCTGGACTGTGATTCCACTATTTTACACCTCCTGCTGTCACTGGAATAATAGGTGTTCACTACCACACCCAGCTTTTTTCCATTAAGACCGGGTCTCACAAACTTTCTTTGCCTAAACTGGCCTGGAACTGTGATCCTCCAGATCTCAGCCAAGTAGCTAAAATTACAGATGCGAGCAACCTTACCCGGCCCATGGAGGACTGAATTCTTATTGTGGTGTGATCTCAGGCAAGTCACTCCACATCTCCAGACTTCTGTCTCCTCAGCTACAAAACGAGGGAATTCTGCTCCATAACTCCTATTCTGAGATTCAGCAGCAGCTGGCAGGGCTGGGTGGCCCCAGCAGGCTGATTCCTCACCTGGCAACACACGGTGGCCCTGGCCAGAGAGCCTCAGGCAACAACATAGTCTTCCTTAGGCCCATGTGGTAAGGAGGATATGCCAGGGTCTCTTGGAAATAGGTCTAAGACTGCTGTGAGTCATGTGAGATAGATGCATGACCAATAGCACCATTGGTTATCTACTCAATGAACAAAACACAAAACCTGATGGAAGCCACTGAGGCAGAAAAGTGAGGGGAGCCTCATACAGATCTCTCCTTGGAAGCTGTCAGAGGATCCTTTCATGAGCTCATTACTTCCTGTCCTCCAAAGACTGTGGTTTGTTTTTTTAAGATGTGGACTTGTACCTCCTTCCCTCATCCTCCCCTCCATTTGCCTATGACATTACTAAAGAATGCCCTGTGGCCTTACCCTTGAGCTCCCAGCAGCTGCCCTATACCAGAAGACCAAAGGAATCCCTACCCCTTCCAGCAGTGGAGAACTTGTGTCCATTCCAACTCACTGGAGGCACCTACCATGTACCCAGGCATACAATGCCTTGTAAAGCAGTGGTCCTTAGTGTGAAGGGAACATGTCTCCTCATGTGTATGGTGGGGGAGGCAGTGTTCAGACGCTCCAGAGGGACTTTTTCAAACCACAGAGTTCTGACATGCTCCCTAGGGGATGTGTCCCTATCTGCCAGAGAAGGAGACAGAGAATCACTGCCAGATTTGTGTTATTCTTTGCAATGCTCCTTTAGTCTAATATGTTCTGTTCCTGAATTTTGGACACAGACAAGCAGAGTAACATGGGAGGAGTGGTGCATGAATCCAGGCCCAGGGAGTGAGCAGTGAGTAAAGGGCAAAGGGTTTGTAACCACATCCTGCCAAAGCTGGTGGAAGGTGGGAGTTGGAACAGTGAGAGGCAGAGAAGTGCTTGCTCGGTCTCTCCCACACACCGTGTGGCATTTCACTGTGGGATGCAGAGTGAAGGCAAGCTGGATTTGGTAGATCCATCTTAATCTTTCCCTCTGTGACATCTTTTTTCCCTTGGTTTTTCTTGGCAAACATTGGGGCAGAGTGAGTTTGGTGGAAAGAGCGGGGAGGACTCAAGTTAACTGCCAGGCTGAAATACTTACCTTCCCTCTGCTTTGAGAAAGGTAGTCAATCCTTTTTTTGTATGTGTGTGTGTTTGCTAATGAGTTTTTTTTTAATTTTTATTTTATTCATATCTGCAACCAATGTTTGGATCATTTCTCCCCCCTTAGCCTTACTCCCTCCCTTACCACCCCCCCACACCGCTCCCTCCCTGACCCCCCCCACCCCTTGCTACCCGGCAGAAAAAAAACTATTTTGCCCTTATCTCTAATTTTGTTGAAGAGAAAGTATAAGCAATAATAGGAAGGACCAAGGGTTTTTGCTGGTTGAGATAAGGATAGCTACACAGGGAGTTGACTCGAATTGATTTCCTGTGCATGTGTGTTACCTTCTAAGTTAATTCTTCTTGATCTAACCTTTTCTCTAGTTCCTGGTCCCCTTCTCCTATTGGCCTCAGTTGCTTTAAAGTATCTGCTTTAGTTTCTCTGCATTGAGGGCAACAAATGTTATCTAGTTTTTTAGGTGTCTTACCTATCCTCACCCCTCCCTTGTGTGCTCTCGCTTTTATCATGTGCTCAAAGTCCAATCCCCTTGTTGTGTTTGCCCTTGATCTAATGTCCGCATATAAGAGAGAACATACGATTTTTGGTCTTTTGGGCCAGGCTAACCTCACTCAGAATGATGTTCTCCAATTCCATCCATTTACCAGCAAATGATAACATTTCGTTCTTCTTCATGGCTGCATAAAATTCCATTGTGTATAGATACCACATTTTCTTAATCCATTCGTCAGTGGTGGGGCCTCTTGGCTGTGTCCATAACTTGGCTATTGTAAATAGTGCTGCAATAAACATGGGTGTGCAGGTGCCTCTGGAGTAACCTGTGTCACAGTCTTTTGGGTATATCCCCAAGAGTGGTATTGCTGGGTCATATGGTAGATCAATGATTAGATTTTTAAGTAGCTTCCAATTTTTTTTCCAGAGTGGTTGTTCTAGTTTATATTCCCACCAACAGTGTAAGAGGGTTCCTTCTCCGCCCCCAATCCTTGCCAACACCTGTTGGTGGTGGTGTTGCTGATGATGGCTATTCTAATGGGGGTGAGGTGGAATCTTAATGTGGTTTTAATTTGCATTTCCTTTACTGCTAGAGATGGTGAGCATTTTTTCATGTGTTTTTTGGCCATTTGAATTTCTTCTTTTGAGAAATTTCTGTTTAGTTCACTTGCCCATTTCTTTATTGGTTCATTAATTTTGGGAGAATTTAGTTTTTTAAGTTCCCTATATATTCTGGTTATCAGTCCTTTGTCTGATGAGTAGCTTGCAAATATTTTCTCCCACTCTGTGGGTGGTCTTTTCAGTTTAGAGACCATTTCTTTTGTTGAGCAGAAGCTTTTTAGTTTTATGAAGTCCCATTTATCTGTGTTATCTCTTAGTTGCTGAGCTGCTGGGGTTCCACTGAGAAAGTTCTTACCTATACCTATCAATTCCAGAGTATTTCCTACTCTTTCTTGTACCAACTTTGGAGTTTGTGGTCTGATATTAAGATCCTTGATCCATTTTGAGTTAATATTAGTATAGGGTGATATATGTGGATCTAGTTTCAGTTTTTTGCAGACTGCTAACCAGTTTTCCCAGCAGTTTTTGTTGAAGAGGCTGTCTTTTCTGCATCGTATATTTTTAGCGAAAGGCAGTCTTTTTTTTTTTTTTTTTTTTTTTTTTGTGGGACTGGGGTTTGAACTCAGGACTTCATGCTTGCAAAGCAGTCACTGTACTGCTGGAGCCACACCTCCAGCCCCCATGGCAGTCAGTCTTGATATCATTTGAGGGTGCTTTCAAATATTTAGGACAGTGTTGTCTTTTTTTTCAGTGCTGGGTATTGATCACAGACTCACCCTTGCTAAGCAGGTGCTCTATCACTGAACTACAGCCCCAGCCCAGGACAAACTTTATTTTTTAATTTTGGGGAGTGGTACTGGGGTTTGAACTCAAGGCCTCAGCTTGCTAGTCAAGCACTTTAGCACTTGAGCCATGTTCCCAGCATAAACTTTAATTTATATACAGGTCACCTGGGGAGACTGTTAAAAGGTGCACTTGTAGAATGGATCTAATATTGTCCATCTCCAGTAAGATCTCAAGTGATGCTGAGCCCTGATTGTGGGCTACATTTGAGTAGCAAAGTCTGAGGAGAGGAGGAGGTTAGATTGGCTCTCAGAGCCACCTGCTTGCTAAACCCTCTTACAATTTGCCCTGCCAGAGGTCCTCTTTCTTTTGGGGTATTTTTACATGATCAAGTGGACATGGAATCCTCTGTTTTATTCTTCAGTCTGAAACCAGAAGAAGGGCCCAATTTCTTTTGGTTCAGACTGGCAGAATTTAAGAGAATTTTACATTTCCACTACTTCCCTAGGTATTGTGTGGTTATCTATGATTATCTAACAAAGTAACACAATGGTTAGCTTAAAGTAACAAGCATTTATCATCTCACAGTTTGTGGGGGTCAAAAATTCAGGAGCAGCTTGACTGGGTGGTTCTGGCTCAGGATCAGTCACTAGGTTGGCTGGGATAACAGTTGTCTGAGGGCTTAACTGGAGCTGGAGGATTCACTTCCAACATGGTACACCACATGGGTATTGGCAGAAAGTCTGTACTGCTCACCACATGGGCCTTTTTATAGGGCAGCTTAAGCAACATCAGCCAGAGTGGTCTAAGAGGAAGAAAGAATGAAGAAGACGGTATAGTGACTCTGTGTCCTGGTCTCAGGGGCTAGACACTCTCACTTTTGTTCTATTGTTAGAACCAAGTCTCTAAGTCCAACCCATACTCAAATAGAGAGAATTAAACTCTACTGCATAAAACAAAGAGTATCAGAGGATGTTTGAACATATTTTTAATCTACCATAGATGCTTCCTAGTCAAGGACCCACTGTGGGAGGTGACCCCACTCAAAGGATTGATGTGCCTCATAATCCTACAGTTCTGCTTTTCTTAAGAGACCTGTGAGATTATAACCACCAAAGATCCCACTCCTTATAAAGACATTTCAAAATGGAAAGTCAAGTCCAACAGTCCTAAATTTGAATGTGGGCTTGGCCACTTAGATGTATGTGTATCTGTAGGAAAATTACCAAAACCTCAGTTTTATCTGGAAAAATGGGGGTATTAATAGTCCCTGTCTCAAAATGTTGTATAAGAAATAAATGAGATATTAAATGTAAAATGTGTAACACCTGGCCTGGCAGACAGCAAGTGCTCAGTACCTGTCAGCTGCCATCAGCTCTTGCTCTTGATATCCTGACTCTACCTGAAATGGGCTTTCTGTGTTTGAAGAGATGCTGGCCACAGGTTTCTGCTTAATTTTTGAGTTTCCCTCATGAGTGCCTCTTTTCATACTATATTCAGATTTGGAGTGGTCTGTTGACCTCTGCCAGTAATCCACATATGGACAGATACTCCTGACAAGCTCAGGCTTACCTCTTTCTTGGCTCATTTCTTTGCCAAGGCAAGAGACCCACTGTGCCCTTCTCTGATGGAAGTTTTCTTTTTCAGCACTGGGGCTGCCTTCTTCCAAATCCCAGTACTGGGGGTGTGGGGGGCGGGGAGAGGTGGCGCTTTTAACAGGAAGTGCCATTTCTGTGTTGAGCTACAGAAGGAAACTGACAGGTTGTTTTGAATTGAACCTCAAACCAGTTCAGAGTAAAGTACTTAAAAGAGTCTCCAGAGAAATGGGAAATAACATTTGTTCTATGGTATGAGATTTTTTTTTAATGTAGTAAAAGTATCCTGACAAAGATTTTGATAGGCTTATATTATATATTTATGTATTTAAAGCAATCAAAGAAATCCTTTCTGGTTCATTCTGTTTTCTCTACAGGTATTTAGTCTTCCTGCAGATCAAAAGGGATCTCTACCATGGCCGCCTCCTCTGTAAAACATCTGATGCTGCCTTGTTAGCAGCTTATATCCTTCAAGGTAATGACTTTTGACAGGATAAATTTGCTTTTCATGCTAAATACTGATTGTATTATTTCAGTTACCACAGATGACTACCCCTTGGATCTAGACAGTATCTAACTTGAAGTGGAGTCCAAGTTAGAGGATTCTGCTAAGATTCTCTAGAGTCAGAAAGCCCAGGAAATGCCATTCTAACCTGTGCTTAAAGTTGTATTACCAGCCCCTCAAGGTGATTTTGATTGTTTGGGGATTTGCCCTGTGCCCTTGTTAATTTTTCTGAGACTCTGGGGAGTAATCAAAATCACTTTTTCCTATCCTCTCACAAATCTCAAAGACGTAAAGCATGGTGGAATTCTGGTATCTATTTTAGAGACCTTCCGGCTCAAGTTGCTCAATGTTGAAAGTGTTTCCAAGACACAAGCTCATTTCCCAATGTGCTACTAAGTAAGAGTTAAGCCTCACAGAGTTCATGCCTGGACTGACAATTTTCTACCTGAAAACAGAGGGAAAGATATGCACTCTTCAAAACCCTTTCTCCTCTCATGAAATGCTGAGAACACTCAAGTGCCACTTCCTAGATTTCTCTTAGTCCTTAGGCCTGAAACTATCATTAGCACTGGATCACTTTGGACCATAGCACTAAAACGGTAAGGTTTCCAGCAAAGAATCTGAACTTTTGATTTGAAATCTGTGAACTCCCAGAACTAACTTGGTGAAAACAAAGGGAAGTACTTGCATCAGGAGAAATATCACAACTGTGTTAAGAATCTAAGAGCCCCTTGCCGTTTTAACTTCTGAGACTACTGTTTTAAAAATCAGTTAAATGGAGGAGGGGAGGTAAAGGAGAATGGTGGAGGGGGTGAATTAAGTATGATATTTTTGTTATATTGTAAGAGCTTTTGTAAATGCCACAATGTACCCAACACAAGAACAACAACAACAACAAAAAATCATCTAAATGGAAGTCTAGCAGGTGCTTACATTTTAAGGCTCCTTAAAGATACCCCTTCCCTTTTTAAAGGGAAAACAATTTCAAACTCTAGTCTTTCCTTCAGTTCTACCCTATGATCACATTGAATTCTTTTTTTCCCATTTAAAAAGGATTTGATGTCCAACATTGCTGTTTTCCACTTGGTGCTTTCTAAATAAAATTTTTAAAAATTGCTCCAGGGTGCACGGTCACTCCACACATTAGGGGAAACTTTTAGTCTCATGTTGAACAATAGAAATTCTCAAGTAATTTGGTTTGGGGATGTTTTGTTGTTTTTGTTTTGGGTTGGTTTGCTTTAATGAGATGGGGGTCTCACTGTGTTGCCCAGACTGATCTTGAACTCCTAGGTTCAAATGATCCTCCTGTCTCCCTAGCAGCTGAAACCACAGGTATGTACCACCACATCCAGCCCCATGTAATCTGGAAGGCACCATAATTTGTAGTAGAAAAGCACAAGCTCCAGTACAATATTCAGCTGTGTAAGGAGGGTACATTTTCCTCCTAATGTTTACTCCTTCCTTATCTAAAGTGGTTGTGGCTCTCCTAAGGAAGGAAAGAAGACAACCACAAAGCAGCTACAGGCTCCTTCCTCTTGTCATAGCCTGCATGTCACATGGAGAAAGCTGGCTCTTGACCTGGGAGTCTACTGTGGAAAGCATGGTGGGTCCACAGTCCTCCCAGAGTTCACTGATCTGAAATCTCAGCAGTGGTAGAGATGAACTTCTCTGGGCATGGCCAGAGCAGAAATTCCCACCCCTGGCAGGGCACTGAGAAATCAGCCTTAGAATTTGGTGCTTCTGGACTCAGTGACTCTTGTCATAGCTAGCCTTCCCCATCTCCAGGCCTCCCTGAGCTGACCTGGAGCCCGGTCAGCCCTCAATGAATATTTAAGTTTATTCATTTAGTTTGATTTGGACTAGGGGTTAAGTTCTGATCGTGGCTTATTCAGTAACTTGCCTTGTCCCTGCTAAAATCCTTAAAATGAGATTTAGACATCTGACCTGGCTCAGACCCAGGGATTCTGTCTTAGTGATCAAACTTAGTCTTCTGCCACACACAGTATTGCTTCCAGACCCTCTTGGCTAAATAGCTGAGAAATATAGTATAGACTTCTGCTCTTTTATTGCAAATTTACTTGTGCTGACCTCAGAACACAGGGTCAGCCCTGTGTCTCTCTTGGTAGAGTGGAGGTGTGCACACCTAAGGAGAGAAAGGCCTGCCTGTACTCGAACCCTGCTCTGGGTAAATCTGATGCATGCTTCGGCTGCTGTGCCATGTGTTAATCTCTTACTACCTTGCCATTGGTGATTTACCTGTCTCCACAATTGCTTTCTTCTACCTTTCTGTTAAAGCGGAGATTGGGGATTATGACCCTGGGAAACACCCTGAAGGCTACAGCTCCAAGTTCCAATTTTTTCCTAAACATTCAGAGAAGCTGGAAAGGAAAATTGCTGAGATTCACAAGACAGAACTCAGGTATGTGACTCTGAGCACACAGCTCTTTGCTGTACCTTCTTCTCTCCTCAACCGTTTGCTGGCACAGAGTGATACTCCCCAGCCTTCCTAACCCTGGGATAGACCATATTCAGAGACTCTGGGACAACACAATCCCAGATCTTGTGGGCTCATTCTCCAAGCAGAGTAATTTAGGCTGAGGCTTAAAGGCAAGAGAGGAGTTATGTTGTTGCAAAATCCAAAAGGGATTGGCTTCACTTAGATAAATGAAGACCTGGAAGCAAGGAGGGGTGTTGGGGGAATGGCCCAAACAATGTATGCACATGTGAATAAATGAGTAAAAAAATATATATGTAAATGAAGAAGAATGAGCTAGGGAAAAGAAAAGGAAAAACAGAAGAAGCAGAGAAGAAAAAAGATAGAGGCTGTGAGTGTAATTCAGTGACAGAGTGCATATGCAAGGGACTGGGTTGGATCACCAGCATCATGGAGTGGGGGAGGTGGGGGGTTGAGTGGGGATGGACTTCTGATCTGACTGTGATGGTGACAAGTGGCTTCTACTCAAAAGGCAAACTGCTAGCTGGGCGCCAATGGCTCACACCTGTAATCCTACCTACTTGAGAGGCTGAGATCCGGAGGATTGTGGTTTGAGGCCAACCCAGGTAAATAGTTCAAGAGACCCCCATCTCCAAAATAACCAGCAAAATGGACTGGAGGTGTGACTCAGGCTCAGTGCCTGCTTTGCAAATGCAAAGTCCTGAATTCAAACCCCAGTCCCACCAAAAAAAAAAAAAACGATGAACTACTGCCAGACCAGCCCCACCTCAGCTGCAGTGGTGTGCTCTGGTTTGGGGCCAGTGTCTTCAGCACACCCATCCCAGAGTTCCTGACCCTGCACATAGGGAGGGACGCAGAGAAGTGGCCTCAAGCGTGGACCTCTGTCTACCTCAGCTTCTCTTAGTTTGCCGGAACAAGTGGAAAACCATAAAATAGCATTAAAGCAGTCTTTCACACATATAAATAGGTTTTTCTATAAAAACTGACTTCAGAAAGCAAAAGTAGCCCTTTTAGTCTCCACTTCATGTGCCACACTGTAGCGCAGATCCCCACACCGATGAACCACAAGGAAAGTATTATAAAATGGCGAAATGTGGTGGTCTTCAAAAATGTTTGTGTGGAAAAAAAAAAGTTTGTGTAGCTGGCAGAGGGTCTCAAGTGTAGAGAGCTTGCCTACCAAGCGTGAGGCCCTGAATCCAAACCCCAGTACCACCCAAAATAAAAAGTTTGTGTGTTTACTCTTCGGAGGAAGGACCATGCTGGGGGAGGGATTCAAATGGTAATACTAAACTTTAAAGTAGATCCTAGCCTTTCCCTCCAAAAAAAACCTTTATCTTCACTCAGAAGTTTTATCAATAAATATAACTCAAAGCCTCCTTAGCCTTTGAAAACAGACTCTGTGCCGGTCCTGAGTGGTGATTCTACCCCTCTCCCTGTGCAGGGGCAGTCTTTCCAGGTGCTGGGCCCCATGGTTCCTCAGGCCACTGTTAGGGAAATAGTGACCCCTTGTGGTGAAGATCAGAATACACACAGACCTGTGGGTGGAGGGGGTGTCTCATGGTTCATTCAGAGATCAAGGATGTGCTGCCCAGAGAGGTTTAGGAAATGTTAGAGTAGTGGGAACAGTCTTCTAGAAACCTAGCACATGGTAGAAGATCCACCCCCCCACACCCCCCACAAGAAATGATACCTGTTTTGAGGGCCCTGGAGATTCAGGTTGACACAGAAGTGAACTTCCAGACAGGACATGAGGAAGCTCCCAAGAGGGCCGGATAGTGCTGTAGCCACCTCTGTACTGAGCCTTTTGCCTGATACACAGGCATTTTCCTAACACCTTCCCTGCATCTCCCATTCACTGGTGGATGTAGAAGGCTGCCTCTCACTGATAACCTACAGACTCAGGTGCAGCCTCACCTTCATAGTGTGAAAACGTGTCTGTTTCTTTTCTATGGCTCTAACCTGAGTTTCTTTGGGCCCAGGCTGTGGGCTGTCTTTCTTGCTCCATTTCCCAGCAAGTAGCACAGAAGGTGGCCTGTAAGAGTGCTGAGTGACAGAGGCCTCTTCAGAGGGACGCTTAAGGGAGTCTAGCCTGCTTCTCACTTGAGTGGGCTTGTCTTCCTACCCTGCCATATCACTTGAGGCAAGTAATAAATTTAGAAATTAGCGACTTGTGGTCCTACCTACCAGTCCAAATCAGAGTTTACTGGACTTCAACAAAGACCTCGCCCCTCACTGCCCCAAGGTCAAGGACGATACTACGGCGGTGGGAGCAGTGTGCTATGGTGGGTTTGTATGAGGTGTATCGGGCATGATCGTCATGAGGGGTGTGAAAGTGAGGAACGATGCTGCGTGTGTCGCGAGTGTGTGGTCGTGTAATTGTTGATGTGTTCTCCTGGACTATCTGAAGCGGCAGCATCGAGGTGATGATTAGGCAGATAGGCCCCAGAGGACGAGATATTAAGATGTGCTGAGGGTGGGCGGTGTATAGAGTCATTCGCTCGCTACGCCGGTAAGGTGAGAGAGCCGGTCACGGCGTATGACGTGATGAGCTAGGCAAGTCTCTCTTACTTGTTCATTCAGATGGGGCTGGAGCCGAGGG